CTTCATTCCCCATAAGAAGGGATGGAGAATTCTAAATGGTTCAACACCATTCAATGTCACATTTTTGACGGTTTCGGCCTTCTCGCTATTTAGCCTCCTTAAAGTCGAATGACCAGACGGATGGAGTGACGGCTCGCGATTGTGGCAGCCATTTAGCAAGTTTAACTTTCAATTATCCTGTTTTACGGAGATAATTCCACTACAAAGTCACGGGCAATCAATTCGATGTGAGAGGGTCTGGCGTTAGCACTCCTTTCGAACCTTTGCTACATTAACGGAATTTCGATCTCAGGCAATGCATACGCGCTTTCCTGCACTTAGGCTTTTAGACGTGACAGCGTTTAAAAGCTCAAATACAGAAACTTGGCCACGTGCAGACGTCTGCACAGTATTCCTAAGCTGCTCCCGACTGGCACACCCAACCTCGTAAGGAAGAAGCATGTTATCGCGCGGCGCACTTCCAGGAAATGCCAGAGGATTCAGATAAAGGCGTGAGTAGTATGTTAGGTACTTCTAACGTATTACTTGCCCATTAATAGCAAAGAATATCGAGCAATACTTTTGTCGGAAATAAACTCTTAAAAGAATCGGTTTTTTATTATTTGAATAAAAAAATTTAGGAAAGGAACGTATTTAAAATAGAGGTGTAATTTTAGCACTTAATTTTTTACTATCCGATAATCTGGGCCTTTTTTTAATTTTTTAATCAAAGGTTTCTCCGTTACCCCTTAAAAAAATTAAGAGCGAAATACAAACTCTGACCGTCTATTTTTTGAGGTCTTCAATCTTGATTTACAAAATCGACTCTTCTTATGCATTATGTAATTATGACTGGATTATTTCCAGTGTTGTAAAAAGCAGCCTTTTTTTATTTTTAATCTCAAGCATTAGTTTGTCGATGTTGAAAATTTACAAGCTCATAGCGAGTAATAACAGCCCGAAGTCTAGGCAACTAACATCCGTGATTCCTCATTTGTCTGAACCACTCTCGCCAAATTGTTCTGATTCTGTGCAGCTTTTTACGATGCTGCTGCAGTAAAGACTATTTACTGGAGAACTTAATGGTGTCATCACACAGACTAAGGTGTTCAGAAAACAAAAAATCTTTGACCTCGATATTTCTCCAATCATATGAATTATCCTATTTGGAATAGAAGCTCTCAAGCTGACAGGTTTTGCTCCTTTTTATTATAAGCGGCTGTCAGGCGCTTGACGGAAAGATTGTAATCTGATTTACGTCTAGTTCAGTACACTACTTAAATTCCAGAAAATTACGTTCCAGGTGCTCTATACCTGCTAAAAGACCAATTTGCCACCACACCCTGGATCACTTTTACTTATTCTCGGCCTTTCGCAATCAAATATTGAGTCTTTGTGCATTGGTGACAGTAATTAGGATATGGTTAAACTAAATATAGAACGGGAGACCGCTGATATTATAATTTTTTCTTCATACAGAAAAGAAAATGGGTCACGCAAGTTCACGCAACTCATGATTCGGCTATTTCATCAAATTTGTCTCCATCAAGCTCATGAGACATTCGAGGATTGAATGTATATACCAATGAATGGAAAGGATACATTGTACTTCGTACGTACGCAATGCGCCTAACTGCGTTATCTGCAGACAGACACACACGGAGGCGTACGATTTAAATTTTGCGATGCAACCTTGCGCACAGTCACTAACAGCTTCACCCTTAGGGCTTGCAAAACATGCATTTTTTTCCTTTTTGTTTGAATAGTGAGGAAAACGCCAACAAGAGTCCACTGCTATCGATTATAGTCGGTATAAGTCTCAAATTTGGCACCCTCTTGACTTGGTCACATTGAAGTTTGCTGCATAGATGGTCCGGCGTCTTAGTTGTCGTCATTATTGACGTCTTCATCGTAAGTGACATTACGACCGACATCGTTGTAGTTGGCCGCATCATTAGAAAACCATGCTAGGCTAGAAATTGTACGCAATTTTTACAGGTCTCTTAGCGTTGCCGGAATGCATTCCTAAAGATACTAGTATCGCCATTTCTGAAGTAAAAAATCATGGTAGTTAATATTGCATGATATGTACGCATAGAACAAAGGCAGTCTCCCTTTAAAGAAGTTACTGGGTCAAATATTGACTGTACGTGATCAGTATCTTTTTACGCTTAATTCTTGCGCTTAGTTACCTTTTGCTTTGTAGCTTATTGCCTGCCGGCAACCGCCATTTCAGCAAAGACGATATCAATTAGGATGGTATCATCTGAATTGGATTGGGTACAACAGGTTAAAATTCAAACGTAATATTCGGATCGGCCAAAATATAAGCTGTGCAATGACCCACAACCGACCGGTGCCTTTAATCTTTCCCATTCGCAGACGCAACTCATTTCAAACGAATTCGTCACTGACAATATGCTACGTCAGAAAAGGAACCAACTTGAGCCATAAGTAAAGGATAGATCAGATGCTGTGCGCATTAAGAAAAACATTTCGAAGTACCCGTACAATTCGATAAGTAGTCCGTGCACATCCTGTCGAGCAGGGAAAAGGCATTGCGTAGGGCATGAACGTTTTTAGGCCTGATGAACCTTTACGCAATAAGGCCTCATAGTGATGAGTCCACAGTTTCCTCTTTAACGGCTGCCGTTTTTCTCTCACCCCGCTGCCTTTTGTCCTACTCCAGGATTCTGTTTGTGCAGATCCGACCGAACAACTTTGCACTCTTCGATATGATGTTAGAAGTCCAATGTCGACATCGTTTCCGGACACGCTGCTGTTCGAGTCTGGACACCTGCTCCTGCTCCAGCATATTGTCCAGTCTTCTCGAACTCATCAAACGCGTTTCTCTTCCATGTCCATATCAGACTAGAGACTTAGTGAGAAGTCATGTGGTTAAAGCTATAGACAATGTAAAGACCGAGCGATCGGGCAAGCTGGCTACCAACCAGCGGATGACAGTGAAGTCAGTCGGCTTTGTAGATTTTGCATCATTTACGCTTTTAGAATCGCGTATTGTCAATGTAGCGACGATAGAGCCACTAAGTGCCGTAATTGTAGCACATGCATCGAGTAGATCTAGGTTACTGCTCTTGATGAAAGAGGTTGGAGCTTGTAGTTGACAAGCTTCGGGTCATCATATCCATTTGTTAGGAGACAACGTGAATCTACTGCATAATCATAGCTCCCATAGGTGTTCGAACCACACAAAAACGTAGAATCGTCGTCACGCGCCTTCACACACACGTCATACCTATCCAGGAGCCTTGAGGTGAGGCAGTTTGTCTTGTCAGCAGTGATATTAGGTTGGTTCACGGTCTTGTTCCGGCGGTGCTGGCTTGTTGGAGTGGGAACGTTTCTTTCATTCGCTACAATCATCTTTTATATCGTCCGACTTGATTCAGCTTGTGCACGTTGCCACACTGATCCGATTTGTGTGAACCTTCGTGACAGTCTTCGTTCACTCAATCAATGACTTGCGGAGGGATCTCTGTGGTTATTTGCGTCGAGAGACTTGGTCTTTGTTCGTTAAACTCTGGTCCTAACGTGCTATGTACTGATATGTAAAGTCAAGGCGAAGAGGTCTGGTGTGGACCAGACGCATATTGCTTCTCTTTTACGTCATCAATGTCGTACCATTCTACAGGTAAGTTGAGTACTGCGCCCGCTTCGATTCGTAAACAGACAAACGAAGATAGATGTTTATACGAAGATCCGAATTCCCAGTGCAAAGTGGCGTAGCCTAGTCTACTTTAATGTGTGTAAACATGGATAGAGCTCGCGTGTACTTCTTCGTCATCGGTGCATTCATTGTTACAGACACATACCGCCAGCGGCATGAGTAGGAGTGATGCAAGCATGCAAAATGATGGCAACTAATGCAAAAACTTGACCATCATCAACATGAAGTGCCACCCTAACAGCCTCCGGTTCGTTGTTTTTTACAAGAGTAAAATGCACATTCTGCTTATTGAATCTGATTGGACTCCCATCTATTTGCCGCGATAAACTATCAACTCTCCTATACGTGCCTTCGCACAGCTCGACGTCAATATGCGCAAGACTGCACGTGTCTTCAATATCATCACCACCATCGTAGCACGATGGATTTATCAGGCCAGAATTTGTTGGAATAGTCGAGCCATTCGAGTGACGCGGAAGTCTCTGCTATCGTCGCTGGATGTATGAGCAGAGATAATCTCGTCGGTCTGTTGTCGCTGTTGCTGAGAGAATCAGCAGCACACACGTATCTCGATGGTCGATCGCAGTGGTTGGCGACACAGCCATATGTATCATTTGCGTTGCTGTCGCGCGCGCTTAGATCCATAGTAACGAGCTTGCGAAGCTCCAAATCTATAATTTAGCGGTCATCCGCGCTTGACATCACTTGGACGCAACTCGCTTGCACGACATGCAGACCCAATAAAATCCCGATTATCATACCAATTTAAACAACGTCTGACTCGGTACCGCGAAGTAGACGCTATCGATTGTCAAGCTCGATCATTTTGCGGTAACCGTGGACACTGACATTGTTAAGCTAACATACTTATCAGCTCATGAAGCAATGCCGGGCATAAGAAGATTACAAAAAGTTAGTTGCGCAAGAACGGATCGCTTGCGAGCCCTAGCAGACTTGAATGACTAGTACTAGGGCCGCTGATTAAGAAGAGTCTGTCTATCACATGGAACCTGAGCGAGTGATTCTGTCTGAACGTCCCAATGATACCGAGCACAATTCGTTGTCGTTATGTTTGGCAAAAGCCATGAGATAACATGAAAAAATGTTGTGGCGTTACAATACCCTCGACAAGCATACTACTCTTACAGGGACGTCTGGAGAGTGGAACGGCTCCATCTAAACTCAGCCTAATCCACTGCATGTTTTGCCGTGGACATAGAACGTCGTGCGTCTCGTGGCCATTAAGATCTCAACGACTGAAGTCAAAGACAGCCGCCGGCCAGGCAAAACGGACACGAACCAGTTTTCATCTTCATCGATTGCGCCCAACGCGATTATGACGGAGCCAGTTGTCGAGGTAGTCGTGCGCGTATTGGCGACAATAACCGCCTGCCTTCTATTTGCGAGCTTGCTCCCAGCCATTCGTGTCGTGCATCGTCAGAAAAGCACGGCAAGTATGCCAAGTGCGCTCCCTATACTATCCATGGTAACCAATTGTGTGTCGTGGGGACTCTACGGTCTGCTTATTCACGACCTGGTCCCTCTTGTTGCTACGAACGCAGTTGGACTGACCTTTTCGCTCTTCTACCTTCTTGTATACTATTATTACGAGCCAAAGAAAGGTCGATTGAGTCTAGAGATCCTAGCAATGACAATGGTGCTTATAGGGCTCGTGCTCTTTCCATTCGTAGCTGCTCACGAAGGCGTAGCAATTGAGACGGTTGAGGTCATCGTCGGCAGCTTCTCAGTCGCCATTTCCGCCGTCATGTTTGGCTCGCCGCTGATTCTGGTAAAGAAGGTCGTTCAAGAACGCAACACGAGCTATCTACCGTTGACGATGATCGCTGCTGGAGCCGTCACGTGTGTCTTCTGGATCCTCTATGGCCTCCTGCTTCAAGACGCGTTTGTCATCGTTCCAAATACAGCAAATTTGCTCATCGGGGTCGTGCAGCTCATGCTGTTCTGTATCTACCCACGTGGAAAGACATACGACACAGTTGAGTCTGTGACTCCCGAAGCGAAAGCCACGACGCTGGATAAGAGTAATGGAGCGTGTACGATTGTCGTGCTGGACAAGAAGACGGAGGGAGACGAAATGACTGTGCGTGCTAGGGGAGATGAGAACAGCCGCAGTCAAGCGTGAGACACAATAGTTGTGAAATGCATAGGGGCTTTCATGAAGCCTAGTGACCGGATCAGCTCAGCTCATCGGCACGCAGCAATACGCTAGCACCTGCCGACTGTATACACTTACCCCATGCGCGTATGACATGGGCACTGGGAGGTCTTTCGGCGAAGTTCAATCGACAGTCTGTACAGGACGTGATGTCATAACAGACGCCGCTGCTTCCATCTAATTGGAGTTCGCATCGAAGAAACTACCAAAGAATACCATTTTGCTGCTAGTTCCTGCTTTTGTCATGCGTAGCTGCTCGAGATAAGCTTGTTACCAAAGATGGTATCTTAAGTTATGCCGCTACCAACTGGTATATAAGGTGATGCCCAGCTGAAGCCAGATGCCATGAACGTGTGGGTCATCGAAGCACGCGCAACCTCTTTGAATAGCAGGGAAAAACATGAGATGCATTGGCTTAATTGATGATGTCGACAGATACCGAGATCCAGAGACTTCACTACAAATAGCTCCATATCAAACGGTCTGCTCATTCTTTAAGGCCTAGAGGATAAATCGCGGGACACAAAGACGGTTGGACATTTTTTTTCGCTAAAAAGTAAAGACTGAATCGCTGTTGTGAGCGCCGCAGAATGGAGTGTGACGTCGATTACTGACATAAACAGCGTCAAGAATGTTACTGTCAAGTTTCAACACTGGATGGAAAGACCCACGAAGATCCACACACGCAACGCCGTTGCAGCTCGCGTTGCCTCCACCGCGCACGTCGTTGCGGGTTGTAAAATAGGTATCGTCTTTGTATCAAATCTTCCTGATGTAGTCTCCATCATGTGCTTCTTGCGATACCTGTAAGAGAATGTAGTCAGGTGGCCATTCAACATGAGCTTTGTAGCCATGATCCCGTCATCAGTGCACAAAAGATGCGCGGCGGGTAGACTGTGGTGAGTCGCCGCACACGTCACGCCACCATCGGGAGGTTTCTAGCTACACACCTAGCTCTATAGCGATTAATCTCAAAATTCCCAAACTCATCGTCTTCGTCATAAGGGGAGGAACTGCACCAAGGTATCCGGAACGTGTAAATATCGTACTTCTCCGCTTATTCGCAATCACTGTAGCAGATGAAATCTCTGTCTGCTTTGACGTGATCGTAAGACATTTGCTGTGGATACGTGAGGCTAATGAAAGTCAAGGAGACACCGGCTCTGGTCACTCATTTATCAGTGGCAGAGATCAGAGATCGATTACTTAGTACTGTCACGTTTTGACTGCAGATTACATGATGGTAAAGTCTGTGATGCCAGAACAAGTGCAGTTGCAGTAAAACGAAACACTACATTTTGCGGCTGTACAACCATGTACAGTTGCAGCAGTACAAACAACTATATTCGTACACAACCCATCAATCACACTAGATAAGTCTCACCACTTTACAAACAGCATTTACTGACGACGACGCTGATAGAGGTTAAGAAAGACAGTAAACGATACAATGTGAACGATTTCAAAACGAATAGGCAATCTTCACAATTGAGCGTTTATATTTGCTTGCCCAATTTACAGCCTTGATCGAGACATCTCTAGTAATTTCCATATTTTTTGACGAAAACTACGAGCAATGTGACTGTGTCAATCAGAATGTGTTTCTGTCATACAACACACGCTAAAAAGACAATTGTTGGTACCCTGACCAGACTCAGTGTCATAAACCCCTTTAAATGCGCAAAGGAATAGTTGAGTAAGTGCTCAAGGTGTTGTTCAGGCGAAACTGGCTTGAACTCAACCAAGGTCAAGCAGCAAGTTTGTACGTGTTGCTCAGTATTTCTTTCACTGTACAGATGATGGCGATCATGTCTCATCTGGTAGACCTTAAGCGTGATTCACCTTTCGTTGACACGATCTATTCTTTACCGACACACATTAGAAAAGACCAAATGGGTGTAGTCGATCTGATCCCTGAATACCGAAAACGCTACTAAATCAGTGACACTCTATAGATGGAATATCTTTAGTGAGACCTTTTTAAGGCTGATGCTAAACAGCAGGGATCAAATCTTTTCGGGTGGGTCATTTTTAGATACAGCGTAAAATAACCATAGCTCGAATGGTTGTGTCGTTAAATGACCTTTTTACCTTAAAAAACGACTTATCGTGACCCCCAGTCTTCTTGCGATAGCTTCGCGTTCCATTTACGATGTACGTTACCTCGAATCAATGTAGTGTTTTAGCCGAGCACCAATTCCCAGTGCTAGCGTAGGCTCTTCGCGAGATCGCAAACACCATGGTAAACTGAATATTTGTGACCTCACTGCGATCACTTACCTTCACGTCTATTTTACATGGCAATTTTCTGACCGTAGAGCTGACTGCAGCGATCTTGACGCTGTGCAACCTCGGAAATCGCTATCGTTGATGAATTTAATCTCAAGTGCGCGCTGCTAAACTTTGTAGCTGTGATGGATTGCCACTTATGAGCGATCGCAACTGCGCCTATGCAGCATGTCTTAGTATTTAATGGAGAGAAAAAAAAAAAATAATCACTAAAATAAAAAAAGGAACACCCCCACTCCTCAACCCAAACAAAAGGACAAAAGTCTCTATTAAAGTCCCCTAATTTTTTTAATAAAAAAGGGAGGTTTTTTTCTTTTTTTTTATACACACGTGTGATAATCATTGTTCAGCCACGCGAACCACTTGATTTAATAGACTCATACAACGATCAAATCATTTTGAGCTCGCTTATATTTGTAGACCGTATGATTATAATCACAAGATGGACTGTACCGGATCAATGTCTCCAGGAACTTTGCCATTCTATGACTCGCCATAAGTAAGAACGATCTTAGAGCGCACATGTGCCTCACAGCCCGGCAGAAAAACCAACTCCGCGCACATTAGGCTGCAACTACCCGACCCCACACAGCAGTTGCTGAGCGACCGGACGTACATCCAGTGGGATAGTGATTTGAGCGGTAGAGGTTAAGCTAGATCATCAATAGCGCTGGACAACAGCAGCAAGCCTGACTCAAAGCAAAAGCAGGCAAGTCAATGCACAGCAATGGAAGAACTTCTGTTTGACTACTTTCTTTTTGTATGAGCGAGTGAGCGTCAGTGACACGCTGATCTGAGCGGAGATGAACGATCCACTTCGCTTAGATTCATCTAATCACATAATGTCGTTCTCGTGAGTGTGGCAGTTCAAGACAAAGCACCGCAACAAGCTGCATCAACTGCATAAGCGAGGCGGGCAGTGTGGTCGTGTCGAATCTCGAAGACTAGCGCCTGCCAGAGCCTGTGTGGATACGTCCCGTCTTAAGTCTTTAAGATGGCTTAGAAGGGGCTGTTCGCTCGAAGCAGCCGATCCAAACGTTCTCTAATTGCACTCTTCCTGGCCGCAAGATGAACAAGGCGCGGATCACGGTCGTGGTGTGCGCGAACATGGCTGGAACGAAGTAGATCCGTCTGCTCGTGATCAACCAGCGCCATGACCCCCGCTGTATGATGGGTTTACAGAGGACGAAGCTAGGTTAGCAATTGTAAGCCAATTCAAAAGCTAATAGAATTTGTATTTACGAGAAGGTAAAATGAAGACTAAATATGTTTGAGGTGTTAGTGATTGAAATTTCCTACTACCTTAACCGTGTTCTCCGTTCCCACATAACAATCCTATCCATGCTAACTGTATCATCGTCCTGTCTCCTGTGACGACCTGATATGTCCACGTCTCATAGCAGCACTAGTGCAGCATATCTCTGATGTGAATTCCAATCCCAACACGCCCCCCTCGAAGAGCACTCTTCGATCACACGGATCACACGGGAATACTTACACCAGACAAGCGCATTAACTTTCGAAGGCGCTTCTTATTAAAAGGCTTGGTAAGCATGTCAGCTGAATTATCTTCACCTGTGACCTTGTGCAAATCAATAAAACCCTTGTAAACTTGTTAGCTTACGCAGCACCCATCGACTGTGCGTCGGAGTTTTCGCCATAATATAGGCCGCGTGGTTGTCGAAACCAATGCGTGATTTAATCTGGCACTGTGGTGGTAGAATTTTATTGTAGGATGTTTGGGTTCGGCCATCGCTTCCATGCTTGCTACATAGGCAGCGACAGACTCAGCCTCGGCTGTCGATAGCGAGATGATCGGTTGGCGTCGTGACATCTATGCGACAACACCTTCAGCCAAAGTGAACAGATATCACGTGCTGCCCTTGCGTTGCTCGGGATCGTTGGCTCAATCACTGTTGCAACAACCCTCAATAAATAGTTTCGTCATGTTATCGTGTACCATGTCTGTATTCTGTCGAACGTACGTTAAACTATCATGCAATGTGCCTGCCAGATACCGCAAAGCTCGTTTCAATGTGCCAACATGCTTAATGTTGGGATGAGAGAAAAATCGACTTAGCTGGCCCACCACAAACGCCAAATCAGGTCTGGTACTAATCTCCAGATAGATAAGCATCCCGATAGCTTCACGATAAAGAAACTCAGTAATTTTCGTTTGTTTGTTGTTCGTGTTGTCGCACATCAAGCGCATATTGACTTCCATAGAGTTGCCCACAGCATGTGCCTTATCATATCCAAACTTGCGAAGGATCTCCTTTGCACACTGTTCTTGACATATCGTGATCCTTGAATCTGTCTGGTGCACTTCAATGCCAAGATACTGGATGAGTAATCCTTGGATTTTGATTCCATAGGTGTCATTTAAGTCACTTAGCAGTCTTTTCTTGTAGTCGGCAATGTTTGTTGCGATCAAATGTCATCAACAAAGACCAGTACATACACAATCGTGTCTTCATGGAAACAATAATATAGACATGGCTCGGTCCGTGACTGCTGATAAAAATGTCCAAGAAACCATTTGGCTAAGCTACGTCTTCCACTCATGTCCTGATTGACGTAGCCCATATAAGGCCTTTGAACGACATATACATGTCCATTCACTTTGCGTGGATATCCACTGATCGATAGCAGGTATTGCTTAATACTGAGTGGGGCGT